AGAAGTGGAGAAGAGCAGAGAGGAGAAAGAAGAAAAAGAGGGCCGGAGTGAGGATCCCTGCAAGGAGACATGGCGGGGAGAGCAGGAAAACGGGACCGCTCTCTAGAGCCTGGGTGCTGGAACGGGATGGGTCTGCACTTAAATCCCAACTTTACCTCCTAGGACCTCAGTCGGCAAGATCTAGGTCACCTCATAGGGCCTCAATTTTCTCATCTATGAAACGGGAACGAAGTAGGTACATCCAAAAGTTGGCATAACAGTTAAGTGAGAAGATATGTGTGGGGGAAGAAGAAATTTTACTCTACTGTTTTCGGTTCTCTCAGCTGGTGCAATAATCAAATTGAGTTGAGACAGATTAATAAGAGAAAATAACCCAAATTTAATTATATGCATAAGTATAGGGACCCCACCTACATGAGAGAGTCAGAGACCGAGTATTCACAAGAGGTTAAGAGACAGAAAGGGCCCTAACCGGTTTGACTCAGTGGATAGAGTGTCGGCCTGTGGACTGAAGGGTCCCAAGTTCCATTCCGGTCAAGGGCATGTACCTTGATTGTGGGCACATCCCCAGTAGGGAGTGCGCAGGAGGCAGCTGATCGATGTTTCTCTCTCATCAATGTTTCTAACTCTCCATCCCTCTCCCTTCCTCTCTGTGAAAAATCAATAAAATATATTTTTTTTAAAAAAGAGAGAGAGAGAGAGAAAGGTAAACAAGGCATTCTGAGCTAAGGCGAATGAGATAAGGCGCCTGGGGCTTCAGCGGGGAGGAAGGCCAGTGGCAGGATGATAAGAAGAGCAGATGTGCAGTAATTAGAAGTTTGCCCTGCCCTCTAGGTAGTCATAAAAGTTATCTCTAGTGATAACTCTCATGATGGACAAGGCCTCCAAAAAGACTTAAATGTAAGTCCAGAAATGATAAAATTCTTAGAGGAAAAGCTCCTTGACATTGGTCCTGGCGATAATTTTTTTTATATAACACCAAAAGCACAGGCAACAAAAGTGAACATAAACAAGTAGGACTACATCAAACTAAAAAGCTTCTGCATAGCAAAGGAAACAATCAACAAAATGAATAGGCAATCTATGGATTGGGAGAACACTAACAAACCATATATTTGATATGGGGGTAATACCTAAAATATGTAAGAAACTCATAGAATTCAATAGAAAAAAAAAAAGAAATCTGATTTTAAAATGGGCAAAGGACCTGAACAGACATTTTTCCAAAGAAGACATACAAACAGCCAACAGGTAAATGAAAATGTGCTCAACATCACTAATCATCAGAGAAATGCAAATCAAAACCACAATGAGATATCATCTCACACCTGTCAGGATAGCTATTATTAAAAAGACAAGAGACCTGGACAGGTAGCTCAACTGGTTAGAGCATCGTCTGGATATGCGAAGGCTGCAGGTTTGATCTCTGGTCAGGGCACATACAAGAATGAACAAATAAGTGGAAAAACACTTCTCTCTCTCTCTTCCTCTCTTTCTCTAGAATCAATAAATTAAAAAAAAAGACAAGAGACAAATGTTGCCAAGGATGTAGAGAAAAGAGAACCCTTGTTCACTGTGGATGGGAATGTACTGGTAGAGCCATTATGGAAAACAGTATAAAGATTCCTCAAAAAATTAAAAAATAGAACTAACCTGAGTTCTCTTTCTCCCTGGTCATTAATGAGCACTAATTCAAATTTCTGACATTCTTTATTATTCCTCAATTTCCTCCCAAACCCTTAGAAAAAAAACCACCCTGATCCCCTGAAACTCATGAGAGGCTGAGATCACATTTAAGCACAGTAATCAACTAAGCCTGTGTTGGAGGTAGTGCTCTGTGTAGCAAGTACCTAACTTGCTGATAGAGGATAATGCTGCAGCCATAAGAAGAGTTAATATAGTCATACAGAAAGCACTCAAACAAGTATCTGCTCAGTAACGCACAGCGAGGAAAATGGCAGTTGGGAACAGTCTGACTTTTCTTTGTAAGTGAAAGCCTGTTTCACGACCTAGGTTTCTCACACTTTCTTCTCTCCCCTCCCCCATCAGCTTTATTGAGGTGCAATTAACAAGAACAAGTGTACAACCTGATGATTTAACATATGTACACATTGTGAAAGGATCGCCACAATTAAGTTAATTAGCACATCCATCGCCTCATAGTTGCCTTTCGTGTGTGTGTGTGTGTGTGTGTGTGTGTGTGTGTGTGTGTGTCAGAACATTTATCAACTTTCTTAGAAAATTTCCAGTACTGGGTGAAGAATAATATAAATAGAGCCACTTCAACATGGAATCAGAGCTGCCATCCCTTGTGCATCTTACTCCTCCAACCTTTGGGATGTTTAAACTGAGCAATAGAACCTTTGGACTGGGCCTAAAGCAACATTGTAGTCCGAACTATTATTTGCAAAGCTAATAGGAATGAAGACATTCTGACTACTGGACTAAAAATTAAAGACTTTCTTAGAATTAGCAACATCATGTGTAGCTAAAGAATAACCTAGTTTATTTGCACCTATAGAAATTTCATACTTGATTTATTAACAATAGAAATTTATTCCTTCTCTTCATGTAATTATTCCCCTTCCCTTTCTTATGAAAGCTCCTTGCCTTTACACTCTAATCAGAACAATACTGGGTCTCTGCCTGAATCAGTGCTTCCCAAATAGCTATTCTCTTGGTTCTCAAACTTATTCATCTTACAACTGAAAGTCTGTGCCCTTTGACCAACATCTCCCCATTTCCCCCAAGCCTTGGCAGCCACCATTCTATAAGTTTGACTTTTTTTTTAGATTCCACATGAGTGAGATCATATAGCATGTGTCTTTCTTTGGCTGCCTTATTTCACTTAGAATAATGTCCTCCAGGTTCATTTATGCTATTGCAAGTGGCCAGATTTCCTTCTTCTTTATGCCTGATTTATATTCATGTGTGTGTGTGTGTGTGTGTCATTTAAAAAATTTATTTACCTTCCTACTGAACTCTTAGATTATTTCCTTAGCTTGGCCATTGTGAGCAATGCTATAATGAATGCAGGAGTGTAGATAATCTCTTCAAGATACTGAGTTTGTTTCCTTTGTATGTATATCCAGAAGTGGGATTGCTGGATCATATGATAGCTCTACACGCAAAAAAATGAAACTGAACCCTATCTTACACCTTTACACCTCTCACAAAAATTAACTTGAAATGAATTAAAGACTTAAATGTAAGTCCAGAAATGATAAAATTCTTAGAGGAAAAGCTCCTTGACATTGGTCCTGGCGATAATTTTTTTTATATAACACCAAAAGCACAGGCAACAAAAGTGAACATAAACAAGTAGGACTACATCAAACTAAAAAGCTTCTGCATAGCAAAGGAAACAATCAACAAAATGAATAGGCAATCTATGGATTGGGAGAACACTAACAAACCATATATTTGATATGGGGGTAATACCTAAAATATGTAAGAAACTCATAGAATTCAATAGAAAAAAAAAAAGAAATCTGATTTTAAAATGGGCAAAGGACCTGAACAGACATTTTTCCAAAGAAGACATACAAACAGCCAACAGGTAAATGAAAATGTGCTCAACATCACTAATCATCAGAGAAATGCAAATCAAAACCACAATGAGATATCATCTCACACCTGTCAGGATAGCTATTATTAAAAAGACAAGAGACCTGGACAGGTAGCTCAACTGGTTAGAGCATCGTCTGGATATGCGAAGGCTGCAGGTTTGATCTCTGGTCAGGGCACATACAAGAATGAACAAATAAGTGGAAAAACACTTCTCTCTCTCTCTTCCTCTCTTTCTCTAGAATCAATAAATTAAAAAAAAAGACAAGAGACAAATGTTGCCAAGGATGTAGAGAAAAGAGAACCCTTGTTCACTGTGGATGGGAATGTACTGGTAGAGCCATTATGGAAAACAGTATAAAGATTCCTCAAAAAATTAAAAAATAGAACTAACCTTTCTTTGACTGAAGAAATTGAAACTATATTTGAAATATA